AACATCACCATGGCATCCTTTCGATTCATGACAGGGCACCCCGATCTCAACCAACACTTCACAGCTCCCAGCTGCTGGTGCATGATCGTGCAACCCTGTCCATTCCAGTGAATGGCGTACCCATTCTCCACCAGCAGACTCAACGGCAAAATCGGCTCCACCGGCTCCAGCGACAAGAGAGTGTCAAAATCCGGGTGCTTGTACAGTGTTGTACAGCCATGGGCAAGTTCCACCGTAACAGGCTGCAACCTCCCTCGCTCTTCTTGTCGTGCCATTCTCAATGGGTGAGTGGCTCCACCATCCAACAGTGCAAGCTCCAACCCCTCGTCACACTCTGCCACATTGATCTGCTTCAACCTGAAAGTTTTCATGCTTCGGAGAGACTTCAGAAGGGATGTGGCCTCGGTGATTAGCTCCGATGCAGGATCACCCTTCTTTTCTGGTTCAACTCCACCATCCCGTCCTTTTTCTCCACCACTTGACGTCGGCCTGGTAGACGTGGACATAGGGCTCGTCAATGAAGTAGCGCCTGGCTTTCCTTGATCACCTGAGCCAGACTCCTCCTTCTCCGGCATCCCTTTTCCACTCCCCTTCAACTTAGCCGTCTTCTTTCCATCCTTCCCAGGTCGTTCTCGACCATATGGACAGTCCTTCGCAAAGTGGTTCTCCCCAGAGCAATGGAAACACCTGTCTGACTTGTTGATGCCCTCCCAGGAATGGGCGAATGTGCAGGTCTCACCCCGCTTGCACCCACCGGTTGTCCCCCAGTAGCGGCATGCATGTTTCGTTTTCGGTGGTCCATCTCCACCGCCGCCTCCACCCCCCAAAGCCTTGATAGTTGGCTGAGCTCCCGCTACCGGCTGCAGGACTGCTCCTGAACTGGTAGTCTTGGATGACGACGGATGCGGCATAGTCAAAGCCAGATCCTCCGCCTCTGCCTGGAGAAACTCTGCAAACTCCTTGGTGGTGGTCAGCGTAGGCCTCCGATCGACCTCAAGTTCCTGCCGAGCTGCCGCAATTCTGAATCCCACTTGGCTTCCTCCATGCTTCGTGAGGTTCTCCGCAACCTTGGACAAGGCCTGAATCAAGACCATCGAGTCCGGGATCGCTACATGCAGTTCTTCTGCTCGACAAATCCACCTGCGCCAAGTTCGAATAGCGCCTAGTGTGTCCTGGATGGAGCTGCCGCACTTCACCTCCGTCAGGCTGCGCAACAAATTGCCCCTCTCTGCATTTCCACCAGGTTGGTAGATGGTGAAGAGCTTGTACAAGATCGCCTGAGTAGCCACCCTGCGACTTGCAACAATGTCCTTTCTCACCGGTTCCGGAAGCGCTGCCAGCAAAGTAGAACTCGCCCGCTGATCCAGTCGTTGGAACCGTGGGGACACCTGCTCCTCCACCTTGATTCTCAGCCGCCCCAATGGTGTCGCCAAAAGCCATTCATTGTATTTCACCTCCACCTCTCGTTGCACCCAATCCCAAAACTCCCTAGACGACGTACTGAGGTCTCCCATCAACGGAGAAATCACCGTCAGCCAGTCTCCAAAGAGCAGGGCCGCATTCTCAGTCGAAGGTGATGGCAACTGTGGCAACTCCAGGTTCCGCATTGCCTCAGGCAGTGCAGCTGTCACCGACTCCAGCGGCTTCATCACGTTCGCCGCCCCAATCAATCCACTTCCATGACCTCGAGGATCGTGTACTGGAGCAAGACCAGGAGGAGTGTCAGGTGGTCCACCAAGCTTGGTAGGCTCCCCCACTGGTTCTTGCGGTCCCTCCGCCTTCGCACTCGGCACCGAAGTGAATGATGCCGAATCTCCAGCGTCCGTCATCTTCTTCACCTCCCGAGCAAAGGTCTCCTCGGCCTCCCTCAAGATGCGTTCTCGAAGACGTTCAACATGTCCCAGACCTGGACTTGGTGCAGGATGTTGCCTCCTGCAAGTGCCCAAGCCCCATCACCTGGCCTCTTGGGTCATTCAACAGCTGTCGAACTTCCTGTTGTCCTTGATGACCGCTCGATGCAGCCACCGCCGTAGGGCCTCCATGGCCAGATCCATCCCCAGCAGCTGCGCCCAGCCGCTTCACCTCAGCTGCTCTCACAAGCACTGATTGCGCCCTCATGGCCTTGCCCTGCAGCTCCTCCTCGATGAGCGCATCCAGCCGGCGGTCCGCCACACCGATCTCCACCGGTGGAGCTGCGGCCTCTTTCCGCTCTCGAGACCGTTGCTGCCGGCGTCTTCGTTGCTCCATGGGGACCAACACCTCCCCGTCCTCGCGACGGCAGAAGGTGGACTTGGAAAATCAAAAAAAGATCACCTTGGGCTCATAACCTGTGGTTATGACATGGGGTGCCCAGCACGTCGGGCTTTTCCGAGCTTGAGCCAAAAGGGTCATCACAGCGCTTGGCTTTCTGTGATGCCGTGTGGTTTCATTTCGAAATGGAATGTGGCTTTCACAGAAACAATATACATAGAGATACGATCAAGTTCGCCACTGCAACGCGAGGTTGGGAGGGTGGGATGAAATTGTTGATACTATAGCGGGCTGACAAAAACTTGAGAGAGGAGGGGGTGAACGAAAGGTAGCAGGCAATCACAAGTAACCCTGGTAGAAGTCCATGTTGATCCAGGGGCCCCCCCCCCCGACGAACAGAATCAACTCTTACAGGACCAAACTCAATGCACAATCCCAACTCCTGATTGTAATACATTTTTGCTAAAGCAAGGAGAACTCAGGTAGCTCAAGCTACCTTTCGTGATGTGAATGTCAGATTCGGCATTTGATCTTTTGCGTTCATACTCTTTGCATCTCTTTGAGTCCTTGTAAGTCTCTTTCCGCCTTGGGAGAGAGACGACGCACCACACGACATACGACCCACCAAAGCTCAAGGCATGGTGCTGTGAACGTAGCATTCCGGTCGGCTGTCATCTAACGCATCATAAAGTTTGTCGACATAGTTCTCAATGTTGTGGTCCATGAAACACTTCGAGGTCAGGTTGAATTCCTTCCAGCACGCGGACGCGGACGGCCTCTTTGTGCTCAACACCTTCAAGGGGAGAAAGTGCTCATATTTTCGTGCAAAGTCCTCAATCAAAGAGAAGTCTGGTCGATTCATCATTGTGCTTGCCATCCCGTCTACGACCCCAGAAACAATGGACCCCTTGATGCCTCCCAGCTCATTCGTCAACCCCTTCCGTGCCGCCAGCGAGGCTTGCTGCACAAATTGTCGGAGATTGATCGCACCCCAAGCACGGGCGCATGGATCATCGGCATGGATGTAATTCAAAGCACACCTTTGCGCAAAGGTGCGAAACTCATTGGCCTGCTGCGAGGAGCCACCAAACACCATGGGCGAGCCGAAGACGAAGCATCTCAGGTCAACGGATTCCAGAAGCGCCTTTTCGTCTGATGGCTCAGGACTTGTGAGACTCCTCCAAGCCAGGTACAAGGACATCTGGGCATACATCCCTCCCAGTGAGTGGCCGGTAAACACCACCTTCCGCACGCCATTGGCTCTTTCAGATCTCAACCTTTTTAGGAAAGCATCGTTCTTCAAAAACCGGGCGTTCAGCAGTGTGCCTGCTGCACCACGATGGGCGAAGAAGTCCTTGTCTGCAGTTACCGTGTAATCAAGTTCAAGGTTCCAATTGAGAAAGTCCAAGATGTACGAAGTGCCTTTGAATATCACGAATAGCACCTTTTCAGTTGGCAAAGTCGCGGTGACTGTTGCCATCTTCAAAGCTGCACCCAAATCCCTGGGCGTAATCACTTGGTGAATTTGAAAGCTTGCGTTGGGGATGGTGCGGGGTGGTGCCAACTCATCGGCGTCATCGGTGTAAATCCAAGAGCTAAGGGCAGCTGCCACAAGCTCAGGAAACTCAAGACCGAGGTGAACACTGCTGGACTCCACCTCAGAGGACCGTGGAACTTCTGCGACCAAAATCTTAGGAGCATCGAATGGTGCCGCCACTGCCTTGCCATTCACTGCACAAATGGACCAAAATTTCCTACCTTGCCACGGATTGATTCCTGATGGGAGGTCGATGGTTGAAGCCTGCCCAGTAG